ATTTGAGAAGGGTGCTGATTATTTTCTGTTTCTACATGTTCCCAAATTCTTGGAGTTAATCGAGAAGTGTGTATAAAAGTTGGTCATGGTAGCTAGTGAGCTCTTTTTATTAGTTATCCAAAGTAGCAGAAACTCTGGAAGATGTGAATTTACTCTTAACAGAATATTAACACTGAAATGCTATGTTAGGTTAATTGTTACTATTACTAATTTTCATCCTGTATAGTAGGAAAAAGATGTTAGCTGCTTTCATTTTTGGGAATGCTGTGGAAGTTATATACGGTCTTTTGAACTATAGTCTGATGCTTCTTTTAAATATCTTCTATTTTTTTTAATAGCAATAATAAGATAATTCTTCAGACCCGTATTTCCCTTAACGAATAAAAGGAAACATGCACCTTCCTGTAATTGAAGGGAGGTATGCTGTTGTGGAGGGTGGAACATCTCTTTTAGTAAAGAGAGGTGGAGTCACCAATAACTTGGTGCAGTGAGGATACTGATTCACCTGTTGAGGTATTTTGCAAAATGAGTCCGATGTGTTTTTTTTTTTTTTTAATTATTATTTTCTAGTTCAGTGGATCGAGATTTACATCATTCGATGGACCGTTTTGTTCTGTCATCCTGTTCTTTCCAAACTTAATTGTTCTTCAGTTCCTACTTCAAGACATACTACAGTTTTGTATATGTCTCCTGAACCTGAATGAACTGTGCATTTCTATTGTATTGTCTGTCTGAGCACCAAACAAAGGATTGGTCTTTTTTGAGTTCCTGAGGAAGTATCTGTTTAGAATTAACCCTCCAAGTCCTTCATCGTACTGTTCTATTAATCTCAATTCTAGGCATGTTTTTTTTTCTTTCACGTTGTGTGTTGTGAATCTTTCCTAAGATGATCTCAGATCTCTAGTGATAATGCCATAAGACAATTATACACAAGCTTTTAGTTTTCCAGTTCCCATGCATAATTCGAAAGTGAAAACTCTACTCTGAGGAGAGTTTTTTACTCCAAAGAGGAAATGGCTCCGGAGGCCTCAGCAGATCCATGAGGAATTTGGTACTTAAAAAATAATAATAATAATAAAGAGTCCCAAGAACATGCTCAGACACTATGGCAGTGTGAAGAAACCTCCATCATGAGAAGAGATCTGAAATATTTCTGTTCACCGGAAGGAGCTGAATGGGTTGTATTTGTGTAGGATTTCCTGATTACTGTAATTTGAACTCTTGTGGAGCTCCAATTTTGGATGAGGCTACAAGGAAACGTATGTATGCGTGCTTGTATAGCAGAAGTGCTATTTGCTGGAGTACGACAGTGCTGAAGACCTACATATTGGACCCCAGACAGGGCGTTCGAGGTCGCCTTAAGTTGGAGTGCTGTAGAAGAGAAGTCCATAAAACCAGAGAGGTTACTTTGTAATAGCCTCTGCAAGGAAATCATCAGATTGTTTGCTTGAAGGTTCATTGATGATAAACCCCAAAAGATCACATGGGTATCCCTTCTGTAAAACTACAGGCTCTTTTGCTGCTTTGAGCAATCTGTTTGGATTAGAATAATATTTATTTTTTCATCCTCTAAAAACTAGGAAGAAATTGGCTTTGTGGGGGTGGGAGTGGGAATCATGGACTCTTTGACGTTCTGTTGTTGTTTGGCATCCAGCAGTAAGGGCTTCCTTGTAATTACAGAAGTATTAATTGAATGTTGCTGTCATCAGATATTTTTAGTGCGACTTCTTGAACTCTTTAGACTTTTTGTTTGACTGTTGAAGTTTCCGGGTAGTTCCAATATCTGCGATTACTGACACTAGTCAGGAATTGACTTGCAAGTGTTTCTGGCAAAAGGCATTAGCACACATCTGTTCAATGAGTTTGTATATGTGCTTAAAATAAATAAAAAGACAGCTGCTTTGCAGACTGAGTGTGATGTCTTGTGAACCAGAGATTGAGAAATATTGATCTAGGAAGAAAAAAAAAAATGTAGTCTTACTTTAAAAATCTTCAGTATTATTAAAAGTAATTCTACAAAATATTTTCCCAATGATTTATTGCCTTTGGTGTTTAAAAATTGTCTTATTTCTAGCCTGTCTGTTTGGCCTCAGTTCACAGTGATTATTCATTCTAGCAAAGTTATAATACGATTCTGTAGCCTGTTTCCCATGTAAATATTGTATACATTTAAACTGTGATTAAGTGGTCCTTATTTTTTCCCTTATACAGAGTGTTTAAAGCTGTGTGGAATTCTTTGTTTAGGTGATACTGAACATACAGGAAAAATCTGAAGACGTACAAGAAGAAAATGCATTGCTTTGGCCTTGGAAGAACAAGGGGAAGCGTCTTCAAGCTTAGAAGTTAATAATATATTTTTAAGCTGGAAAGGTTCTGAAACTGTTCAGTTTAGTAGGTTGCGCTAAAATCGGAGGAAGGTTTTGAAGGTGCTGTTCTTGATTACAGCAAGAAGGTGTTTGAGTTAAAGAAAAAAGTATAAGAAGATTTAAGTTTCTTCAAAGCATGCTTAAGAATTATTTCACGTTATCCTCTTCTCTAATTGATTAACTGGATAATAGGTTTAAATGTACGAAATAACAAGACCCATGGATTTTATAGCAACTGATCTAAATTGATCTAATTAAGTTTGATTTTTCCTCTTGTGTCACCTGGTTGAATCCTAATGATGTATAGCAGGTTGAATTAAATTGGGTTGTGCCAGTTTCTTGGGGATGGTGTTGGGAAAATCAGGAATTTCCTCCCAGAAGTTAATTGGGGGTTGGGGGAAGGATTAGCTGGAAATGGCTGTTCGGTGCATTACTGTTCTGCCTACACCTGGTCCACCCAGCCCATTTTGGAAATCCCATTTCATTGGCTTTCTTGATAATCAGAATGTCCTTTGTGTCCACTTCATCATGTATGTGTAGACACGTAGCTGATACGTGGTTTGAACCCCTGAAATAAGCCTTTTTCATTACTATATAACAATAAATCAGTCTTTTGGATTTCTGGACCCCCTGAAGTTTCTGCTGGGGAGCTGGAATCTGTTAGAAATTTCACATGCATTTGTTGTTTGGAGTATTGCTTTTCTTAATCCCCTTTTATGGATTGCCAAACCAACGAGTAAAAATAACTGTTCTAGAAGACTGTTATTGCAATCCTAAAGGCATATTAGTCAAATCTCTGTGATCCACATAAAGCATCTAACCCTTACATTTGGGAAGGGTAACTTCACCCATCCTTGACCCCAGGTAGCTCAAAGAAACGCCAGTGATCAATCCCAAAATATCTGCCAGTGGAGTTTCTCGTATTTTTCCCTTTTTTCCTTTGCATTGAAAAACCCAAGAATAAAAAAATGTAGTAGCTTTGTAAATACTATGTGCGCGTTTTTCTCTTCGAAAAATTTAAAAATGCATCTTCATTCTCTGAAGATAAATTTCTTAGTTTTCTGGATTGGCTGTGAACTTCTGAACTGAAGCTGGGGCAGATAATTCAGGCCATTCTTGTACATATATTGCAGTGCTACCGATGAGATCAGCAGAGGGAGATATGAAAAATTACTGACTTTTCAGAAATACTGAACAAAATCTCTCAAAGCTGTTTGAAAGCCGTTAGGTTTAGAAAGGTTTGAGGTTTTTAACCTGTATCTTAAAGAAAATATCCTTAATTATCACGTCAGATATTCATATTTCTTTATCACATATTTTGGTGTTAATAAATGAAACTTTCATTTCTACTAAAGAAATGAAAATATATGTTAAAAATTAATAGAGTAATTCTGCTTGAACTTTCATGGACAGGAGGAGGAGTTAACTTGGTCCGTATTCGTTCTCTTCAGCCGTGTCTTTCATACCCTTCACTTAACGTTTTGATTTTACAGGACAGTGAGCCAATGTGCCAGCTTGCTGTTGCTCAGAGGAAGAGTTTCTGCTCTCATCTTCTTTTCCTGGATATGCTTAGTATTTCTTATCTTAGGCTCAATGTTTTTGAGCTGGGAGGAATCATTAAAATGAGTTAAACCATCCACTTCAGGGGAGTTGCTTTTCTGCCGTTTTGAGTGTATTGAATTGGCTGACAAGAGACACTGGCAGACTCTGGGGCTAATATGGGGTAAGGGGAGCGGAGGGGACCGAGAAATGGAAAGAGTGACTTTTGTCCTTGGGAAAGTGAGCTATTAAGTTACCTTAGCTGTTTTATTTCAACTCTTGCCTAAGTCACAAAATATCCAGGGCATATCTTCATATTTTCGTAGCTGATTGTGAGAAGGAGCATTACTTAATGAGTAAGGGGCCTGAATTGTCCTGGGGGAAGGGGAAGAGTTTTATCTGTGTGTTTTTGTTTTGTTTTGTTTTGTTTTTTTCTCTCTGTGGAGGTATCTGTAGTTTGTGAGAAAGTGTAACGATGTACGGATCTTGTGTTTGGGACTTTCAGTCTTCCACGTGTGAGCTTCATGTGCTCTCTCCTCAGGGGTCCTTGTTTTTAGTAATGTATGTAGATCTGATGTCTTCCAGTGTGTGTTTAAAATAGCCTAAATTTACTTTTTATTATTTATTACCTATAAATGAAAAAAAATTTAGTTTTTATAATGGGATTGAAGAATATGAGTGGAAACCTTGATACATATTTATAACTGTTAAACTGCAAATGTTAATGATGCTTTTGCTCTTAATGACCTCTTTCCAGTCGCCCTGGGTCCAACCAGTAGTGGAAAGATTAATCTCTTCAGGAGAGAAGAACGTGTACTCTGGTTTTAGACAAAACATGATGATTAAAGCTACTTGTAAGCTGAACAAGTGCAAGCTTTTGTTCAGAAAAACTAAGCTAAACAGCGAATTATGTCAGAACATGAAAGAACAGAACTTATTTGCATTTCTGTCGCTGCTGCTACCAGGCTGCCAGTGCAATTCATCATCTGTTGGGGAACTAATTGTAAGCTTCCCGCTGAGCATATAAGTGGTATTTTACTTAAAGATCTGCTGTCTCATTAGATGATACTGTCTGCTGGATTGCAGGGCAGAGTTCCACTGCAGTGCTTTCCTTCTGCAACGGTGGTAATGGCTGATCACCAGGCTGGCACAGAGGGTATGAACTGCTGCATAGTCTTGGGATATTTTAGAGAGTACTAAAGATAATTTTAATCACGCTTTGTTTTTAAAGAGTAGGGGAACAAGATCACAATGCTGACAGACCTAAAACAGAATTTATTATTACATTTGAGGGTTGATCTTAATAGTCATAATTCTGCATGTGTTATTTTCAACATAACTTCAACCTCATATTTATTGGGATCACATGTGCTTTTGATCAGTGTGCTTCACTAGAATTCCCAGCCTTAAGGATAACACTCATGAATGCGAAGAGACAGTGCTCTTTCATAGTATAGCCTGCAGCCGTGGGGCTTGCTTTTGGAAGCCTTGAAGTTACCATGATTTCTTTTGACAGATGAGTTTGACCAAGTCATGTCTCTTGTATAGGCTTTGTAACACTTAGGCAGAAAATAAATTACGATTTTTGTGATAATGCAGGTTTGTAATTTTTCGTCATTGTTGACTGTGACAGAGTATTTTGAACAAAGATACTCTTTCTTGCAGCATTCCTGTTAAATTAATAAATAACTTAATACAGGGGGGGAAAATAGTGTTCAGATGATGTATCTTGAATTTTTAAAATCAGCCAGTAAAATGCAATTGGACTTTGATATCAGTCTTCTACCTTAGAGCTTATAACCATTTTCTCAACACGAAGTGAGCATAACGTCCCTTAGCTGGGACTCTCCTAGCCTGTGATGTGTAGCAGTGCAGAGCCCTAGGAACTGTATCAGTAACCTGCTGCAACTCTCTGGCATACCGGGAGAGCAGGAAGAGAAATAGTCTGTCAGAACTATATTTGTCTTAGACTGTGACAAAATCTAAGCAAAACTTCATTGTGGTCTGGAGTCCATAATTTGCGTGGCGCTGTTCCAGACTTTAGGGGAGCCCTGGATGTTCTGAAACCTTACAGAAAACTCGTATCCTACCCAAAATCAAAGAGCTGTGTTGTGTGCAAGGGAGGGGAAGGAGCGGACTGAAGAAAGAGTTCAGCTGTGGTCAGGATGTGGCTGATGTGGAAATTGTTATGGTCTGCAGTTTTCTCTGCTGCCAAGATGCTGTTGGTACTAATAGCAGATTTTGTCTGATTTGTTGCCATGCAGATGCCTAATCTTTACAGCACTTTGACTTGTGTGAAAATATGAACTGTTCTAGATTACTACAAGAATTCGAGGTTATTTCAAGTGGACTTTATTCTTAAAATATATATATATATGTATTCTCTTTTTTTTTGAGATTGAGGTACTGTAAATGAATTCTTTGCCATTATCACCTTTCTTTGAAATTACTGTTTGTATATTCTTGTCTCATAATAAGGGGCCCATTATACTAGTTGTCCTAAGAAAACAGATGGATTTATGACAAAATGTATTTTGTTCTGTTTCATTTTCTCTGGGTAGCTTTTCTTTTTTTTTCCTGCGCTGTTTGATAGACTGTATTAAATGTCTCTTATGCTCTTTTGTATTAGGGGAAAAGCTTTCCGGCTCATCCCTCAGAATTAGTTTATGAATGACATCAGTGAACTTGCAGTAAATTTCTCTGTTTTTTTTATGGACAAGAGAGAATAGATTCGGACAAGAATATTGCTTTTGTAGTTATCTGTTCTGGGGTGGAGGGGTTCTTCCGAGTTCATCTGTAGAGGACTGTGAGTGTTTTAGTCCTTCACCTGTGAATCAGACCCATACTTTTTTTGTGCAAAGTACAAGTGGATGTGGAGAGATAGAAGGGGAGGTTGAAACTGGTATTATAAGCATTTTTAAGGAGCTAATTCTGTATCTGAAAGAGTTAAGGTTCCTTCTTAGAGATGAATGGTGATAAAGTTACTGGATTGTGCCTCTTAATCTGCAGATGCTCATAGTCAATAATATGTAATATTTTCTTTTTTTAATAAAGTGGCTAAATCAAAGTTGGTAGTGTTTGGAAACTTCTGATTCATGTACTGTTAATCTGCTTTTTATTTTGGTTATAAGACAGAAGTGCAATAGTCCTTTTTCCGGTCTAGTCTGTGTGCAGTGGGCTGAGGACAAGTATATGAGGTTTCATGTTGATCCTCTAGCGGACTTGGATGCTGCTGCCCACAGTGTTTAGTTTATTTGATCTGACTTTGGATTCTGGCAGAGAACATCATCTTATTTTTCTAAAATATCAGTTCCACTTTTACTCTGCTATACTCCAGGAAGTGGTGTTTGGCAATATTTTCTTACTGATGGACTTTGAAACAAATTATGCAGATATGTTTCTGTTCTGTTATTTATATATGTACATGAGGTTGTTGAGAAAGATCTTGATATGCACCTGCTAGGTACTATCTGTCTGATAAAAAACTCAGTGTGGTTTGCTTGCTGACCTATCTGTTTATTTACTTATTTTGTTTTGTTTCATTGCACTGCAGAGAGGGGGAGATAACTGAGGGTTATGTATCTAAACCTCAAAACTTGAGAAGGCAAATGGGTTCAGGGAAGTAGCTAGAGTTGTGTTTTGTGGTATGTGATCAGTCAACCCCTGATAGTCCATGGAGTGTTTGTAAAGCATCCCAATTGCAGCTAAGGAGAGCAGAGTTCTTATTAGTAGGCTTAGTTGCCCAGACTGAAATGACTGAAGATGACTCACCTAAAAGGATAAAACATGATGTTGTCACTAGTTAGTGTCGATTTTTCTTCTTCAAGAATTTTTCGGAAAAGCGAGAGACTTGAATTACTGGTGACTTACCAAAAATGCAGAAGCACTTTTTTCAGCTGTGGCTGGCTTTCTGCCTCTGAACCTCCTCTGAGGGGATGAACTCTGTTGTGTCTGTCTATATTTATGAATTTTGGAATAAATTACTGGACGTCAGTCTACCTTGGCCTTTCTCTAGACCTGCTCAGCAAAAGCTAGTATAAAATGCAATATGTGTTCACTTTAGCTGCTATGAACTCCCGCTAATTACACTGAAGTGCTGGTTACGCCAAAACATGCTTTTCAGCAGGCATTTGCAATGATCTACAGAGGATAAAAGCTCTCGGGTCCCAATTATTTCTCATAACCTGAACTGCAGAAGCTGTGCATTATGAGAGATAATGATCAGATATTTACCTTCCAAACCAACATTCATTGTAGGTGATAGCTTTTTATTTAAGTATTTGGGGATCAGGGCATGGATTTTCTTACCTTGCTAATTTTTTTTCCCTTGGGTGATCTGATTTTCCACTTTCTGTGCAGAGCTAAGTTCTCTGTGTTTGGCAGACTTGAGTGCCGATGGATAGCTTCTATTCCATCTTTCATACAGAGCTCAAAGAGAAACTGATGGGTCTGTAAAGGAAAATAAATAAATTATTAGGTCACCTGAAGATGAGCAATAGCTTGGCGCTAGGGTGTGTTGGGTGGGGAAATTAGACATTCCAACTTAACAGTAGGAGAGTATTAAATTTAGAAGACGAATGGGTGGGGAAGGCTAGAAAATGGCGTAACTGGAAGAGAATTTAAACCTTGTTAGCCTAGAGAGACAGCCTCATTCTTTCAGAAATATTTGTGCTTTCCTATGTTTACACGTGGAAAATGTGTCACATGAGAGTGTAAAACAAGTACACTGTTAAACTGCTAAATGAAGTGGCTTCAAAAGTTCCTTGCCCTTAGCTGTTCGTTGAGTTCGATCTAAGCTAGTGGGTGTGACCACTGAATTATGCTACCGTTGGTCGCGCAGTATGGTGTCTCAGCTGGCTGGATAGTTGCGTTCCGGAGTTCACATCGTTAACTTGCGTTACTCCAGCTAGATCTGCAAGAGCATGTTCTTGTATGCTGCTGTCTTTGCCACGAGATGGCTTAAGATGCCGTTGATTTCTTGCTGTGATATATTCATCTGTTCGTGGAGTTCTATCTTGTATATCTTTATCTCCTTCTTACTGCCTGCTCTATGCACTTTCTGCTTCTTTCACTAAGATAGGCTTTCACAATCTGAAAGACTTTGTTTTGAACAACTTCAAAATATGTTCCTTAGCCATATTGTTCTACTTTTGCTATTCTGGTTCTCTTTTCTGTTTGGTAGCGCTTCTGAAGTAGCGTCCAGACCATAACTGAGGAGTTCTTTTTTTTAATTTTAACTTCAGCGTTTTTTTTTTTTTGACTCCCTGTGTTGTCCTCCTGAAATTGAAATCATGGTTTTGGTTTTGCTACTTTTCCACTTTGTTTGTTGCTATTATTGGCTTAGATATTATGTGAAAATGCTTGTACAGTTCCACTTTGTGCTTCTTTGCGGATCCATCAGCCGTTTCAACTAGGGTTATTTTAATTAATAAGAACTAGCACTGAAACCATATTTGGTTAGTAGGAACTAAAATAGGAAAAACGTTCTTGACAACTGCAGCTTAAAAAGCTGACGGAAGAGTGACACTCAGGGAGGAAATCATCAAATGTTATTGATCCTAATATAGATTAAGTTCAGCTTCCCTGTATCATAGTCAAGAGACCATAAACTCTGTGGTTATGGTTTTATAAGCTTAGAGTCATACAAAACTCACTCTCTGGCTTGTACAACAGAAGTGGGAATTGGACTCATACTGGCTAAAGAGAACTGAAACTAAAGTGTGATAAAATTCTAAAACTAGCTGAATTCTTATTTATTGGAATTGTTGTAAATAAGAACTTTACTGTTTCAGTCTGGCTTTCACAATATGAGTATTTTTTGGTTTTGTTTTGTTTTATTTTCTTGTTGCAAACTGTTACTCTGGTAGGATAATACTACATCAGCCATAGCTTGACAAATCTAGTCAATACTTGCCGTTGGCAGTGTTCCCAGCGAGGCAGGCATAGCTCGCGTGGGGGACGACGTTTTATAAGTTGCCATAAAAATCTTAGTAGGTGCTCATACTGCCTCTTGATGAGTGTAGTTCAAAAAAAAAAAAAAAGTCTTGGTGGCATGAGTCCATAGTAAAGTTTCCTTGTGTAAGCGATTAATTCATATAACCCCTTTGCTGGGATATAAGAAAAATTGTTACCCAATTTTTCATGGTTAGTGGTTTT